TTCTTTTTTTTTTTTTGCATCAGATTTTAATTGCGTATGCAGCTATCTAGCTATGACACAATATCAGAGAAAAGTACAGAAAAGATGACTCAGTTTATAATAGGAGCACTCATGCCTCAGATTTCATTTGCAAGTACCACTGCGAAGTTATGGCGGCTTTTTCTTCACCCCAAGTCAACCCTTATCCGTGAATACCCACTCAGGGGAACGTCTCAAAACCCCTGAGTTATCCAGACATGTCTCCATCATCTTCCGACTTTTCTCCGCGCGAAATATGATCTAAGGCGTCTCCTTCCCAAGTGGAGTAGGTGCCCAGGCTACTCAAACCATACCAGAGAACACCACCAGGAGGCGGACCACGGCACCTTCCATCGTTAGCTTGTGTTTATAGTGTCAGCTGCACTCTCGCAAGCGAAGTCTTGGCGCGCACAAAGCTCAATTCGTAAAACTCTTTCCAAAATTCGAAATTTCACACCTGTCGAGTTTGTATCCTTCCTTTGCACCATCTTGTAAACTTGTCCTGATCACTCTCACGTCCGTCCCAAAGAGCTATCTCCCAAAATTGTGCTCCACGCTTTGCTTCCTCCGTCGGGTGTAAATATCGGCGTGGGCGTGTATTTGGTGACCGGCTGAGGCCAGAGAAAGTCGACGAGAAGTGTGGTCATTGAAACGAGGATGTACTAGGTCGTACTTGTAGACTTGATGAAGCTTAGTTGAGAATCGGACTCTTTGGGAGTGAAATATTGACATGGTGGAGTAATTTGAATTTTTGCCTCGTGGGCTAACTTCTTTGATATTGCGAAATTTGACTGAACTTGGCTCTGGGAGAATATTTCACTCCCAGGTTCGTAGAGAGCACCACTGACAGGTGTTCAGTCTTGCCCTCCTAAAATCATCACTCATTGGTATGACATAGTATTTCCCAATAGATTCCTAATGGTATCTATTGGCGCTAGGATCTCTCACATCCTTCCTTTCTCGGTTAGACAAGGACAGATGTTGGAACATCCACTAGTGTGCAGAACACCCTTATTGGAGGGCAAGACTGAACACCTGTCAGTGGTGCTCTCTACGAACCTGGGAGTGAAATATTCTCCCAGAGCCAAGTTCAGTCAAATTTCGCAATATCAAAGAAGTTAGCCCACGAGGCAAAAATTCAAATTACTCCACCATGTCAATATTTCACTCCCAAAGAGTCCGATTCTCAACTAAGCTTCATCAAGTCTACAAGTACGACCTAGTACATCCTCGTTTCAATGACCACACTTCTCGTCGACTTTCTCTGGCCTCAGCCAGTCACCAAATACACGCCCACGCCGATATTTACACCCGACGGAGGAAGCAAAGCGTGGAGCACAATTTTGGGAGATAGCTCTTTGGGACGGACGTGAGAGGGATCAGGACAAGTTTACAAGATGGTGCAAAGGAAGGATACAAACTCGACAGGTGTGAAATTTCGAATTTTGGAAAGAGTTTTACGAATTGAGCTTTGTGCGCGCCAAGACTTCGCTTGCGAGAGTGCAGCTGACACTATAAACACAAGCTAACGATGGAAGGTGCCGTGGTCCGCCTCCTGGTGGTGTTCTCTGGTATGGTTTGAGTAGCCTGGGCACCTACTCCACTTGGGAAGGAGACATCTCAGATTACATTTCGCGTGGAGAAAAGTTGATGGATGACGGAGGCATGTCTGGATAACTCAGGGTTTTTGAGATGTTCCCCTGGGTGGGTATTCACGGATGAGGGTTGACTTGGGGTGAAGAAAAAGCCACCATAACTTCGCAGTGGTACTTGCAAATGAAATCTGAGGCATGAGTGCTCCTATTATAAACTGAGTCATCTTTTCTGTACTTTTCTCTGATATTGTGTCATAGCTAGATAGCTGCATACGCAATTAAAATCTGATGCAAAAAAAAAAAAAAAAAAAAAAGAGTGATGATTTAGGTCAATCATCTCCCAGGGCGCAATGTGCACACTATTCTAGTGTGAACAGTTTGTTGTAATGCAGTCATGTTACTCCCTTAATTACAAGAAGCCCAACCTTTTTGTGCCGTCCAGGGCGCCGGGGAGTGCCGTTGACTTATCGACACTAGAAATCCAGGCTAATTTACCGAAATCTCGGTCTTGGCGGGCACGAAAAATCCAAAGTTGAAAATCACTCGAAAGAGTCAGTCCCAGCATGGTATTTAGAGACCTGTTCATCCCATCGCTCCATATCTCAGCCGCCTGTTCACCCTCAAGTTGTTTGTCCAATTAGAGCAACACTCCCCCATGAGCCAGGACCCAGGCTTTGTACTTTTCGACTTGATTTCCTCCTTGCGGGTATAAATAGCGTCGTAAAGTTGTGGTGGTTGATGGCCGGTAGTGAATGAGGCGAGCTCCTATTTGCAATTGCAGCAACTTCTTTATTGGTCATTTATAATCTGCAAATGAGACACAGTCATCCGCTGGAATGCTAATGTGAGATAAATACCACTGGGCACTAAACCTTCAGTGGAGAATGTATTGATAACAATTATATGAGATGAGGAATTTCATAGTCTGATTAGCTAGACCTACATATATGTCATCCTTGGAATTCCAAGATACATCATATTTCAACAGTTTGGGTCGTGTTTGTCTTATCGGGCAAATGCCTCTTTCTACCAATAGTATATTCTCAATTGAAGCATTAAATCCAACTAGAAGTGGCTTCAAACGCTGATCTGATTCCCGGATCTGTGACAGACTCAAGTGGTTGGAGGTGTTGTGTGAGCACTCGTCCGGCCTCAGCGAGGCCCTCCGTTAAAATTCTTGTTCCTTCAGCAAGGAATTTTTTCAAGCCATGGAGCGATGTTTGTGACTAAGATGTGAAAGAGTTAAGTGGGGGTTGGCCAGAATGGGATGTGGCGCGATTGGAAAGGGCTGGTCTAGGCTGTAATTATCGTTTGATTTGTATTCATTATCCTGATTTGGCGTCCTATGGGCCCATGCAGGTGGCTATAAATCTATCTACATATTTACATAGGAGGAAACCTCTCGGTGAAAAACCCCCAAGCTTTCTGATTTAATTCTTATAGTTTGCAATTTATCCTTCAGGAAACACAGTTACACTATAACGCCGTCGATGTGTACCAATCACGTCCCTTCTATCGACCCCAACCTTCTACATGTTCCATCTCGTTCCCTCAGCTGCATGTCGACTGCATTTGTCATGCGGAATTGATCTATCCAACCATGACTAAGAATCCATTACGTAATTCTTTTAATATCACCAGGATTGTCTATCATATCTTCGTAGGACCGATCTTTGGCTTGTCTCCAGATCTTACCCCTACCGATTGACCACTTAGGGCAGGACATGATCATGTGATTGGTAGCCACACGGACAGCATGGATCGTAGACTCCTGGTGCTTTAGATTAGATTAGATTGGATTTATATTATAGTCCTAACTGAGTCAATGACTACAGAGGACTCCTAGAATCTATATATAAGATACTAGCTACATTATTTCCTTTCTCTCCTGGTGCTTTTCTTCCATGCAAAATCAAATTGAGCCCGATATGCTCGCTTCGAATTTGGATTGCTAAGCTACTTTGGGCCCTCGACAGGTGAGTGAGTGAGTGAGTGAGTGTTTGTGTTTATTGTGCTACTTGAGTCTATGACTATCTAGCACCCCTCGACAGGTTTTTATGGAGAGTAAGAGGATTTTTCTGGAAACTTATTCTTAGACGTCCAGAATGTCGGCATTGAGAGAACTTAGCTGCTTTCCCGTAATTATAGTTATTTTTCGGTTAGACTCGTCCACTTCAACATCGTGTGATATCACGTTGTCGAGTAGTTACGGCGGAGGAAGTGATAAAAAGGGTGGAAGAGGGTTTGGCATGTAGCCTATATTTTAAGGTTATTTATGAGCATTTTTTATATTTTCAGGTCCTAAGCTATGCTCTATATCTCCTAGGAGTCAAGGACCGGAATTGATGAGCATTGTTTGTGTGTTTGCGATCTATGTTATTTTTTCTAACGAAGATTATAAATTAGAAATCATCGGACTTTACGCAACGCTTCTCTCGAGCCGTCACGTAAGCACAGATCTAATAATAACTGAAAGTTAATGGCATTTTTTTTCATATTCCTTGCTTCAAAATTATATACCTAGCGACTACCTTTCTGCAAAGTCGGGTTCCCTATTTTTTCTATCTTCGAGGGATTTAAACTCGTTTTAGTTATAAGCCCTTCGTCTACAGTAGTACTGGGTGTCATTTCAAGCCAATGCGGCAGTTATTGTCACGGAAGTTCTCCCAAATTTGTTCATATTTTTTAATTCATTAAGTGTATGCAGCTTAACTAGCTATGCCACTTATTTGTTCGTTTATACACTATAGACAAAGAGCTTAAATTAATAGTAGCCGAGGAAAACCAACTAGGGCCATTGAGATTGGTAAGTAGAGAACAAGAAAAAACTTAGAACACATTCTTTCTCTGGCAATCACATGTGTCTATTTAAAACTCCCATGAAATTATGCACAGGTAGATTGACGCTTGAAGCGATAGCCATAGCACATAGCACTGCTCTGCTCTGCCAACATGCAGGGCCAGCAAGAGTAGAGGGACGCAGCCTTTGCTCATTCTGTGTAGCTTATACAAAGCTGCGGGAGGTGGCCTGTAAGCGACAGATATTTCTCAAAAATCTAACTGAACTAGCTTCCAACTAGTTCGGAAGACCTTCCTTACGAATTAGGCCAGCGCCTCGTCTCGAGGAACTGAAATCTATTAATGAACATACTAAAATTAAAGATTAAGTATTGTATTGATATTAGAATAGATTAGGGCCCCTGATGGCTATTCCAAACTCCTTTACAAGAAATTAAACCATCTGATACGCCGAAATCGCTCCAATTTAGAATAATTAAACTTACATGGTTGAGCCACAGATACGGAAAAGTTATAAATCTCCGTAGTTCACATAGATAAACTTGGCAAAACCCTATCACTAGCCAAGTAGCACTGAAAAGTCTCAATTCACGAATGTTCCCTTCCTTCTACCCATTCGGAGAAGCAGCCCCCAAACCGGATAACTGGTGGTAGCTTCCAAGATTGCCGATAATACAGCTGCTTGCGAGATTCTAACTTTTGTCGGAAGCGATCCAGCGTTATCATATCATTCCGTAGGCCTTGGACGAGCCATTGTGCAGAGGCGAAATGACTTGAAATCTGCTCAACTGACCAGACAGTAGGCGAGCCGACAGCTTGGAGGTAGGCGCTACAGTATGCATCTCTCTGGACAGCCGTCACTAGTGTGAGTTCTTGAAGAGCGGCGAAATTTGATAGGGTCCAGGTAATATCGGCCGAGTGAACACAAAAGAATTCACTCCAAACCATAATTAGCTTTTTCACGCATCCAAATATTGGCGAGAAGTCGCGAGAGCGCTGTGCATTAAGAGTAGGTATTTCTCGTGTGCCTAGCCCAAGAAACATGGGTTTTCGGTGATTCTCGGAAAGAGTTGGTGTGGAGGAGGCTGTAGCAGAGGAAACTTCCTGATCTTGACACGGGCATATTGATACTCTGTTAGTGGAGGGCAATAAAAATATGGTATCGTTGTCGGAATCGAAGCGGATGACCGAATCGCCCTGTGACTTGAGAGTCCCGCTGTATACTGAAAGGATTGTGTTGCGAGAATCCTTACATGTCGCTAGTAAGCTCGGGGCTTGTGAGAAAGGTGCGCTAAACTTGAGACTTTTCTGAGCAGATATGTGGTCGATGTCCCAATTGAAGTCCTCGCGTGCAAAGAGATCGCCATTGTGAAGTGCGTCGTCGACCTCAACCTTTACGCGAATGATCTGGGGGCCTGGAATTGATAGTTTCCAGATGTAGACTTGAAGTTCGAAAGGCAGATGCGTGAAAAGCGTGAACTTGCAAGGGGGAGTCTCGCTTAGATTGAAAAACTTGGATAGCCGAGGATTGGTTGGCTGTAGCGGAACGGGCACGGCTGAGGCCGGTGAGGAAAAGCATTTCATGATGTATCTTCAGCTAAGGATCTACATGGCGGAATAGTGCGCGTTGTTATAAGGGACCTTTGCCTTGCGCGAATCTTGCAACAGTGTGGCAATTAGAGGCAATATTAGAGGCTGGGTCGCGCGCTCTGAACCCTACCCTCACGAGCCAAAGTGCTTTCGAGCATAGGCCTCTCATAGGAACGGCTTCATCAACCCGCTTGGCTTCCTCGGAAACCTCAATATGGCGTTTTTAGCCGCGCAGATTTAGCCCAACGTATATAGATTTTGAGTGGAGCGGTAAGGCCAATTAGTTCTCGGGCAGAGATAAATGTGCTCTAGGCTGAAAGATCATCAATAGAGTCGAGGACAACGAATGGTATAGTTCCTTGAGTCGACTGAAGAAATTTAATGAGCTGACGAAGCTCATCGCAAATCGAAATCGGATGAAGCCGAATAATTTTGCCGCGATCTCTAGCTCGATTAATGGGAACTACAGCTCATGAAACACGAGGGTTGATCTCTACACGACTGACACTGACTCTCTATGCTTATTATGGTCTGACATGATTCCCATAGAAGCATTGGGGACCCTGCTTTATGACTAATACGTCAACTTCGTAGCACGAAACATGCGAGGGATGTCGGGGTGCGCCGGGGCTGGGAGGAAGTTTGAACTCCGTTTCTAGCCCTGTGAAACCGGCAACAAGTAATTCCGAGGGTCATAGTTTCATTGAAACCATGTCAACTCCTGGTGTGTCCCTTGCCACAAGTGGTCAGCTATACCTGCGAAGTTTCTCATGGTTTGATTTCAGGGTAATAATTGCTTGAAACAGATTGTTAATTAGCACAATTTTTTCTTCAAATATTTGAGTATTAGATTGTAGATCGTAGACCGCAAGGGCCCCGATGCGTTTTCTCAACCTTCACGCAACTGGGGCAACCAACACCTTCATCATATGACCTTTACTTAGCAGAACCGTTGATACATGCAAGTTACACTACCAACATTGGCATTTGTCCGCCCATGAGGTTCACCAACATCTCCATCGCCGCATTGTTACATTCACTCTGGAGATACCGTGTTACTTGTCTCGGGCCAATTTCCAAGTCTTATTTCGTACGATCCATTTTTTGGCCGTGACCATGTGTTCTTGGATGGTAGCCTAGGAATTGCCCTTGATAATTTCGAGTCTTCGACGTCTCTCAGCCTCTTGCTCCTCCGCCTCTCGTAACTTTTCCTCCCGCATTTTTTTGATGCCTTCAAGCTTCGACTCTCGATCCTTTTTGGCAGCATCCTCTGCTACGAGCCAAATCGGTCTATCACTCTTTGAGTACTCACGCAACTTCATGACGAAGTCGTCGAACTCCTGTTGTCTTTTTTCTCGGCTTTCTAGCGCGCGTTTTTGAAGATCAGGGTTATAACGTGAGAAGAGTTCTTCCGGCGTTGGAGACACGTACATGACAAGGGCTGGTCCACCAATACAACATATAAGGCCGCTATGGAAAATTAGAGACGCTATTGATTGTGCGAGGAAGGGATAAAGGCAAAATCAAGTAGACAATCTTACGCTGCTGTCATTTTACCGAGCATTTTCCAGTTGATTGGTTTTTTGGGCGGCATTTGGACGTGTGTGGATGAGACTTTGATCAAAATATCTAGCTAAATTCCCGCGTGGCGATTGAATTGAAAATTGCGTACTCGTGGCGTGCTCCTTGATACTGAAGTAGATCAAATGCATGCGGTGCATTAGTAAGCTAACACGCTAATTTGACCCAAATACCCTATGTTACAGATGCCGTCCAATGGCATTTAGAATGACATTAATGGGCTGCGTCAATCTTTCCTATGCACGATGATTCTGGTTCTAATCAAATGGTCGAAATGCGCACACAATAGCGTCAATTAGACCCAACGCCTCAGTGTTGTTTGTCGCCTCTCGTTAGTAAAATCACATCATGTACACCAAAATAGGTGCCGGGCTACAACTAATGATAGAGCGTTGTACAGCATTTTTCGTGCAGCCTTGACCTATTAAATGACGCCTACATATTGTATAGTGCATTATTTTCCGCTTCTGGAATGGTCTACTCCAGTAGACATCATGTGGGGGATTGCCAACGGGTTGGCCGGGATTTATGATGTGGACCAAAAATAACTACTCACGGACAAGAACCACCCGACGCATCAGTGCTCAACCTGACTCTCACCATTTGATGCACCACAAGGTCAAGCCTCATTTGCGCAACATAGAATTTAATCTGATGCTGATTTATGGACAAACATTCGCAGAAAGTGACAGTACAGCTTCTACAACTAATCCAGAACACTGTGAATATCTAAAACCAGTAATGCGTTCTCACACATGAAAAATAATTATGAGATGCGACTCGTAAGTAAAAAGACTTTGCTGTAGTCACAATATAGACCGAGAATTTTCACAATGGATGTCTGGCTTGTTACCCGTTCTCATGAGTTGATGCGCAAGTCGAAGGTCAACATCTCGAAGCACATTTAAACTTTGCCCAGTCAACACTTCTTTTTTCTGTGGTAGAACCAAGATTATTCAAGACCACATCCCGCTCCGCAAACTGCGTGCTCACTATGAGACCCTAAGCAACATTTTCCTCTATAGCCAAGTTGTGAGTCAGATGAAGTAAATTACTAGCACCTCTGATCCCTGCGCTAAGAAGCGATCTCCGATCTTAGTTACGATACACTCGAGCCTTCGGATCTATCGTAGTCACTGAAATAGCATTTCGCCTCAACTTGCCCTAGTAATACCTCTAAACGAACTCCCATTTTCGGGGATTTTACTTGGTCTAAGGCTAGGGCGATAATTCAAGGAATCAGGAATAGCCAGCTATTCACAGGCACTGTCAGGAACTGAGGATAGAGCAGCACCCTCATATTCTTTCCCTACACTACATCTGAATACTCTCTCATCTTAGAGCGTTTACCGGGTTACAATGGTTGCTATGGGTTACAAATGAAGTAATAGAATAGCAGCAGGCGCACCCCTTGAAGCCTTAGTTGCTCTGGTTACTATGATGTATATATTGGTTGGGTAGAGCCGATATAGAGGGTTATGGTTAGTTTACCGTCTTCCATTGACTTTGTCTCTTGTCCTAGTTTCTCTTGTCCCTTGTCCTCAGTTATAGCTAGAATGCCGAATTAATACCTTAGTCTACGACAAATCTTGTCAGATATCACTCGCACTGATAAGTTATCCATCAAACACAACCCCTGGTACCCTCGAATTTGACAGGCACTTATGTTCTTTCGCCACGGCGCTGTTAGAAATAAATGTACTATCCACAAACAATCTTTTCAAATTTTCCAACCAACTTTAACCACTTCCTATTCTTCTAGGCTATGCATATGCGAAAATTGGGCTCTCCGGATTGCTGCTTACTGAAACCAAGTCGGATGTAGGGAATAACCAGGACAACAATTTACGCATCATACAAAGGTCGAAGGGTAAACGTTGCTTCTAGGCCTGTATAAAAACGTTGCAAACAGACGAACTCACATTTACTGGTTGCTTTCAAAGCGTCATTGATACGAAACACTCATGTCAAAGGTTTATTCTCTAATGGAGAAAACACTCCTCCGTTACCCTGTGACTCAATTCGCGTTTTTAGCACTTCTTTCATATTTCATAGTGGGAGACTACTCTCGACATCCGTCGTTAGTGTCTCCTACGAGTCTCCAGCTCTCACTTTATAGTCAACAGTGTCGACTTTTGTAATATCTTCATCCTCACTTCGATTAATATTCCTAATCTGTTAGAATTTAGAATAATTGGGGCTATCAAGTAGGCCACGTTGTTGGTACACACGTGACTACAAATTCTGTACTTAGTTTCACTTCGGTAGTTACTTGAATCAATGCGCTCTACAACCTCAATGACTGAGGGGTCATTATTTCCTTAATATAATCGCTTTCGCGGCCTACATCATCTTCATCTCTCAACACATCCTTCTATCACCACTACCATGAAGCTAACCACGATCAGATCAGATGCAAGGGCCGAAGCCCTGGTCATTACTAACCCTTGATCATGTAGAAAAGCCATTGGATGAATTTTCGGAGCGTACCCAGCACCCGATACGAAGATGGTGGATTGGATCAGGTCGGCCACGACTGTTTCAAAGAAGGGAGATATAGATGAATGTGCGCACCTCATTTGGTCCCGGTGTCTAGGCCTCGCCTGGCTGGGGCTGCAGGTTTTTTGAGGCTTTTTCCCGCGCACGCAGTTTCCATTGCTACCGTTATTTTTTCAGTAGAAGGTCCCGTTGAAAAGGTGGTTGAAATCCACGGGTAAATACTGAGCTGGATGGATAATCAACACGGGCAATATAACAATGATCTTTGAAGTAACAAAAGAGAATAGGAGCTCTGTACAAGATGTGACCTGGACCAAAGAGGGGCCCAATAAGCAAAATTTCTTAGACCCGCGTAACACAATAAACTACGAAAATATAGCCTTCAAAGATACTAAATACATCTGATAATTTACATGTCCCATTTACTCTATATACATGCTCATTGAGTGTTCCATGTAATCACGTATAGCGTATTGATATTTTTTAATTGATTTTTGTCCTTTCTCCGTCTAAGACAATGTAGTACATGCAGATCCTCTCTGCCTACAGGCCAAGGATACCTATGCCAGCAGTATATCCCCTCCTATGCCTCCCATACAGCTCCCCTCAAACAGTACAACACCTTACAAGTCCTCATTTAATCATACACTTAGAGGAGCCCTTTACCCTTCTTTACCACCGCTCATCAGCCAACATAGTCATGGCTATCTGCGGGTGTATGGCAGCCGGGAAAATCACAAAAACCACTCGTTGCGGGGCTCTCTCAATTTCGACATCAAGATTAAACCTGAAGACATTGCTACCCTTGTGAAGCGTTCGAAAAGAAGGCCAGCTGGGCGGCGCAAACTTTTGTGTACCTGGGGTAATCCGCTCTCTACCTTTCTGGCTTCCTTCCAACTCTTGACCGAAAGTCGTACTGAAATATAAGAAAAGTCTTGACAGAGCATGATTACTGTATGGCAGCTTAGCCCAAACTTTTTTGTGCCGTCCAAAGCCCTGGGGAGTGCCGTCATCTCATCGACAATAGAAGTCTTCATGACTAAGTAGCCGAAATCTTAGTCTTAGCGCCCAAAAAAGTTTCATTTGGAAAACCTCAACAGTTTCAATATTGGTATGCCCATATTAGATCTCTTGATTACCTTATTCTATGTCCAAGTCAACTTTTAATCCTTAAGTTGCATGAACCCATTAGAGCAACAGTCCCCCATAAGCTAAGACCCGAAATTTGTATTTTATGACTTAATTTTCTTCCTTTGGGTATAAGTCTCGTTGTAAATTTGGTAGTGGGTGATGGCCCGTAACTAATGATACAAGCCCCTGTTTGCAGTTTGAGAAAAATCTTATCGGTCGTTGAGGCGTGTTTTCTGGTAAGACGAAGTAAGAGGAATCGCGTGAGAATAAAAAGTCCGATATTTATGAGGAGTCATCTATACTTAGATATGCCTGTATTTGCTTTCGACCTTGATTCGGATGTGACTTTTGTTGGCTAACTCAGATACGCAGAGCTTACTGAGTGATTGCACCGGCATCACTTTAAGGTCAAGAATTCGTCTGTGCTGGCAAAGATAGGATATGTTACTTTTCTTTCCTGCGAAATGGTTTGCCCGTCAGTGGATAGCTTTTATTGAAAAATGATGATGGCTACTCTAAATCCTGTTCTAGTGTTTGGCACTCTGTCTTTCTTCTCTTGGCTAGCGTTATTGTCTTCAATGTAATCGTCATAAGGGTTGTTGTTGGCTTTTCTGTTAAGAAGGGTATGATCCATATTAAAGTTGAAAGGTTATGACTCAATCTTGGATTCGCATGCCATGCTCTTAAAGCTGATGGTGTTTGGATAGTGGCGCTGACAGTTGCTTAATATTCGTCCAACTTGTATTTTGTGATGAGTAAGGGAATTTGTAGATCTGATGGAGGGCTTCTCGCTGGGACTTCGATCATGACTATATAACGCTTCATCTCTTACGATAAAAATAAGCAGGGATCTTTCGAGATTTAATTTCTTTGCTCCTTGCGTATTTGGACAACTTTCAGCTCTAATGGGGTTTCCTGCTCCCCTATAGCTCCAGGTGCCTCACATCAAGCCTTAAAAATTGCGTAAAAATGTGTTCGCTGTTGTGAAGTTCGTCTGTAACCAATCGATATGTTTATGTCTATGCTGAACCCCCAAATCACTCGAGAAGCTTTAAACACAACACTGGAGCCGAAGTTTCACACTAGAATTCCTAAATAAAATAACAAATAAGAAGAATACTACTGTACATGCCACGGAAGTATTAAACCAAACGCCATATACCAAACATCAGTAGAGGTTTAAATATTTATGCTTTCACGTTGACCAAATCTGAGACTTTTTCATCAATCTCTTTATCAGAGAGACCTAGAGGAAGTTAGTTCTCTAAACATAAGCGTGGAAATTAAACTCACCAGACAGTGAGATACTCCTTTCAACTCCTAACTCTACTAAGAATGAGTACTTATAAGTTTCTTGAGAGAAACCCACTAACCGTATCTTGCGAAAATTCGGGGATGAGTACCAGCCGCCTCACGAATCATTATGGGAATATTGGGATTGCTCTTTTTCATTACTGGATACGCGCGGGAAATGAATGACCTGAGCCAAGTTAATCAATGACCACAGAATTTGATTTCTTGTTATCTTCATGGCGTATACCTTACGGGACCACTCTCTCCGCTCGTCTGACAGAACAAGAATCGTAACTCTCTTAGACTTTGACTGAACATGTACTTGCTGCTCATTTTGGTAACAATAATGATGATTTAAATTCGGAGGGGTCGAAAGCCTGCAACGCGAGATGAATTATCTAAGTGACAGAGCGGTTTCTGTCGTAACTGCCATCATGGCGGAATGCACTGATTACATAATCCGGCTTGAACTCGCGCGCAACCCCACAGGATTATGCCAATGAGTGAGTGAGTGATGTTCGTATTACTACTTGAGTCTATAATTATCTAGCAATTTGGGCTCCTCTCTGACCCTGACAACACCGTGTAAAGTGCTCCTTGCCTCTCATGTTTCTTGAAAGATCATTGGTATATCGCCCGTGATGAATAGCCACTCAGCTCAGTGTTTACCCGTGGAATTCGGCCACCTTTTCCACGGAACCTTCTACCCAAAAAAAATAAAAATGGTAGCAATGGAAATTGCGTGCGCGGGAAAAAGTCTCAAAAAACCTCTAGCCTCAGCTAGGCCAGGCTTAGACACCGGGACCACATGAGGTGCGCATACTCATCTATATCTCCCTTCTTTGTAACATTCGAGGCCGACTTGATCCAATCCGCCATCTCCGTATCGGGTGCTGGGTACGCTCCGGAAACTCATCGGATGGCATCTCCTCCATGATCAAGGGTTGGTGATGAGTAGGGCTCCGACTCTATCATCTGATCTGATCGTGGTTGGCTTCATGATAATGGTGATAGGGGAACGTGTTGAGAGATGAAGACGATACAGACGGCGAAAGCAATTGGGAACGTTCCCCTAAGTGGGTACTCATGGATGAGGGTTGACTTGGGGTGGAGAAAAAGCCACTACAACTTCGCAATGGTACTTGCAAATGAAATCTGAGGCATAAGAGCTCTTTCTTTATTTTAAGTCATCTAATAAGTACTTTTCTTTGATATTGTGTCATAATTAAACAGCTGCATACGCAAAAAAATCCGATGCAAAAAAATAGCAGTTGGAATTTCTTACAGAAGTGGGACGCCGATGTTCATTCTCGGCTCTGGAGATTCTGCAAAGAAAGCTGGGGTTCGTAGAGGATACCACTAACAGGTATTGAGTACAGTTTTCCTTGGCCAGCATAGAGATTATACCATTGAGCTACTTCACGTTCGTGATTTTATATTTAGGCAAGAAACAGATCCCAATCTAGAACGGTAAGTAAATATCACTCTTCTTACTTTGTTCACTTAAATTTGACTACGAATCCTGTGACCTTTTAGATACAGAACCAACACCCCATTCCAAACGGAGTAAAAATTTTGTGGGGTTCATCTCTCGCACCTACCAAGGCACCAAATCTCAGAAAGAAAACTTATGGTTAGAAACCTAATATATAAAAAGGCAAGAGCTGCCGTTTAAATAGTTCAAAACCTTTATGGTGACACATCTTTCACGATGATAGGTGTACCAATGCCGTTGTTTTCTCGCGTACAAATGTTCCAACTTTCTACCAAGCGCGTAGCTTTCAAAATAACAGGTCAGATCTTACGCTGTATTAATTCAGCTCCTCCTCAGTCTGCAATCGTATCACCAATAACCCTAACTGGCTTGCCACCTTTGCCACCACAATCTTTATCATCAAACAATGAGGAAGCAAAAGCTCGAATCCTAAGGCGTAGGGAACAGGCCCAGATTCTCAATCGCGGAACTAATTCTCAACTCACTGCCAACGAAGGGATTAAAGGGCGGAGATTCTGGAAAGAAGTTAATGTGCGCGAGGTCGATGGTGAGTTATGATGGTATAGAATTGCTTAACATCCTACAAATCCCTAACAGATCACGCAAAACTCTAGGAGGCTTACGAATTTACCTGGATACACGTCCAATTCGCCGTGCAAATTCACAAATTCTTGCAATTCCAATTTCTAAACCGCACCTTGCAACTGCTATCGCCTTAGAATGGGATCTTCTCACTTTTGCAAAACAAGCGCTCAAGCCACACCTAATCCCGTTAGTAAGTCTTGTGTCTCGAGTATATGATATTGTGGACTCGGATAGCTCTTCACTCGAGGTTGGCGCTATCCGTTCAGGCATTATTGACACTCTGATGCGCTACCTGGAAACCGATTCAATTCTCTGTTGGGTCCCACTACCCTCTCCTGACCCACCGGGTTACGAAGTACATCAGTCCCGTACAGAGCCACTTCGAGTTCTACAGCAAAGAGCTGCTAAACCGATCTTGGAGTTCTTAGAAAGTCGCGTATGGCCTGGCATTAAGATTGAACCTGTTCTTGAGACAAATAGTATCATGCCGAAGTCACAAGCCCCTACAACCTGTCAGGTAATCCGGGAATGGTTACTAGCATTGGATCCGTGGGATCTAGCTGCCATAGAAAGGGCAACTCTTGCTGGCAAGGGCCTCCTACTTGCAGTGCGACTGGTGGTGGAGTGGAGTGAGAACTTTGTACATTTGCGAAAATCTCCAAGACAAGATTTCGGCATCGAGGAGGCTGCCTCTGTGGCAAACCTGGAGGTCGAATGGCAAATTGGTATGTGGGGTCTAGTAGAAGATACTCATGATGTTGATAGGGAAGATGTCCGACGACAACTCGGCAGCGCAATTCTACTCGTGAGTGGAACAAAGACGCAATGTCTGGCTTCTTCAAACAACGCATCAGAAGACCAGGTATCATAATTGTGAACACAAAAATTCATCCACACAGCCTAAGCCGGCATTAATTATTCACTAAAAGATCCTGGTATCTGTTAAATTTCTCGCCAGGTATCTAAGACATCTGTATCTGACATCCACAATATATGACCGCTACGTGACTCTATAAATTGATCTTGTTCGTGGGCTACAGTGGGGCGCAAGTTTTTCTAACCACATATCATGTGCTTAACAGTACTACAGAGGAGCGCCACCGTCTAGACCAGTGATCCAAATAGGATATCTAGTCATCATTTAGCCGAGTTCGCTGAACGAAGTTTACAGAATCGATGCCATAGTTGGATGAGAATATCATACACTTTACCATACCCTTTCTTCACAATACTAGCCTCTTACTGTGTTTCAGCCATGCCACAGCTATGAAAATCAGCACGGACGCCTTACTGTAATTGTGACATCCGACAAGTTAGGCCACCAATATTTAAAGAAACAGTCTATAAAAAGGGTATCCGAGAAAATAAGCTATAATTTCAATTTCAGTACCATTGAAGAAGGGCCTCTTTATTATTCAATAAAGGTAGCAATGATGTTGTACATATCGAGTCTGATAGAGTTATACTGGTATCAGCCTGTATTAGATTTAGTACTTTGTAATATAGAATAATCTAGGGCTAATTTAACCGAAAACATAAGACGTAATTAGGTACGGCAAAATGTTTTTCAAACACTAACCCATCTTTTACAGCAGCTCGTTGACCTCAAATGATGAAATTTATAGACATCCTGTGAGATATGAGCTGTCATGTAAGCTACAAGCCGTTTCTGATACAAATTGAATTGATTTTTTCTGTGCTACAGAAAGAAGTATATTCTCGAATTTGAGCTTATGTCATGTTGAACGCCATAACGTCTTATGTCTTTATTTGCCCCAACCTGCACTTATTTTTCTATCTTAAACTATGATTTGATGATCTCTTTTGCCTTAGCTTCAGCACTTTCTACCTTATCCTGAACCTCGGCGGAGGCAATATGAAGCAGGTTCTCGTTGGTCTGAGATTTGTTGTTGTAGTGGTAGGCACTAATTCGGGAGACCTGAATAACACCTACCAGCCCAAGGAAAAAGTTTACTGTAGCTAGTCTGTTTAGAAGGTTAGCTTCTGAGCCCTTACAAGAACACAGTACGGATTTCTAGTCTTCGCAATGTACAATTCCACAACTAGTAAGGATTTCCAGAAGATTCACCAAGCGAATATCTGGTGAAAAATAAGAGAAAAAGCGTACAGTATATTTCTTGGTTTGATCACAAAGCACCAACGCGTCCAAATTAGACCAGTAGCGGTGAGGGCCAGGTTTTGCGTGAGGGAAAGCTTCTCAGCTGGACGATAGAGATCGCTAATGCCCGCCAAGACTAAAGACCACTATTGACAGTCAGCAACTAGGAGCAAGAAATACTACTTTTTTGATGATAAATTGGCCAGTTTAATTAGGTCCTGGTAAGTTCAGTCGAGGGAAATTTGAGAGCTCTGACCTTCATAACTGGTGCCCTATTTCACCAATCTTAGCCGTTGCTGATGTCTAACTGCTACTTGAAGGGTTTCTCACCAGAAATGAACAGTCTTGACGCCAATAGGGCTCTCCCACATCCTCTTAAACCAGTTAGGTGGGGGGCTCTCGAAAGAAGCTGAACTCTGCCACCTTTGTTCCTGTCGTCCAAACTGCTTCTTGAATGCCCCTGGTTTGAAAGTCGCGCGTGCTTGCGCGGACGTGAAACGAAAAGATGGCGCAGCCCGCATAGTTTTTAGGATTGACGACATATTGACTGTCGCGCGATCAGAGAAGGGCCCGGACAAGTTCAGTAATAACGGAGGGGAATTAAGTTATGAACGAGCGAGATGCGCGGGTTTAGTTTTCACAAATTTATTGAATCGTTAACCATTATGGACCAAGATTGGAACGTATAGACTGTGAACCTCTAGCGTAGACTTTATGCAATGCTTACCAGACAGGCTTAACGTCTAGATGCAATGTCTAGACCCGTTTTTGATCTTCATAATTAGTTAGCCAAACTCGCGCACCAGAGCGGTCTCTGTGTGGATCCTGAATTCCAAGTCCGAGCGAGACGCCGAGTTAAAGGTTCCATCCAGAATGCACCTCTCGCATTCTTTGGTCACAACCCGGGCGGCTAAGCACCTCACTCCTCCCCTACTGTACTCTGATAGTTTACTTGTCATGTGTCATGGATCTTTACAATATCTGGAGTATAGAGGATTTCATGTATTTAAGGAGGAGTTAGAACGTTAATAGAAATACAAGTTTTCACCTAGTCTCAAGCTCTACACACATATTGATTGTCGTAGTCGTAGCCACGAGACATCCGTGAATTTCACAGTCAACAGTCAACATTTATCATTTTATTCTTACTAACGTGCACAAGAAACCTCAAAAATATATATATTTGAAGAGAAAACCTCAAGACTTCAGTAAGAAACACAAACACAACCACAATGTCTACTTCTGAACAGATGGAACCAACCACGATACTCGGAGTCAATAAGAAAGTACGAGAACTCACAGAACAAGTTGAAGCTAAATTCCAGCATTTGGAGCCATTAACAAGAGTCCAATCCGACGCAGTTTTTCATCAGGTTACCGAAGCAGAGAAACGCAATCAAGCTCGTGCAGAACAGCAAGAAAGTCGGAAGGCAAGAATCGAGGAGATACTGTTAAAAATCTCCACTACTTTATACGAACCTAGCGAATTCAAACCGGAAACCTCTCCCCACGCTTCGACTTTTAAACCGAAAGATATGGATCCGGGTGCAAGTAAAAATGTCGCTGCAACTCAGTCACCCAGACCTTCCGTTGTAGAAATCGAACAGCAGGCAGGTACTCTCATGGAACAATCAATAACCGAAGTCGAAAAGTTCGTCAAGGAAGCTTGGCCAGAAGCTCTGCTGGACGAGACATCGATGACGAATCATTCACCAACGTAAAAAACAAGGTGATGACTAAAGCCGAGTGGCGTCTAGTCAAAGCTGATATCCACGTCTTCGAAAAGCTCAGTGAGATCCAATCAGCTCTACGCGTCGCTTTGGTACCATATCCCATATGGACGGAGCGCCTAACCCACGAGATGAGTGGTGATTTTAAAGGTATTCGCGTATGGGCAAACGAGCGCCGCAACTTGAAATGGGTCGAATTATTACACGCTAAATTCAAAAACATGAAGCGACATGACTGCATCCATAGCCCACTCACAGTCTTCGCCAGCATAAGCCCTGACAAAGGGGACTCAATATACTCCTTCGACTGGCGTTTACGAAGCGCGTTCTATGGATTGTCACAGACCGACAGAGTGAGCCGTACGACACGGACAATGATAACGGACCTCTGCAGTAAATATCTACCGAGGGTCTGGACATTAACTGAACCCAGTTTAGATGGACTTCGCAACGACCAGAGGGTAGAAAAACTCGTCCAAATAGCTGAAAGAGTCTGCAAATGGAGCAGCGAGGACAAGCATTTTGTCAAAACCTCGGAAAACTACTCGTCTTCAATGGATACTTCCCAAAATGACCTTAATCTACACCCTGCCATCAAACATCCTCCAGATTCAGTGTACACTAATCACGGTGACATAACACTCACTGCAATCCAAATCCCTCCAAATGAAATTCTCGAGTTCTAGTACCAAGATATCCAAAACACCCGTCAAGACTCAACAGAACCTATCTCGTCAATTCGGATGACCTAAACGAAGGTCATCAAGTAAACCCATCACAGATCTGTTGTCTTGATCCAGGTCGAAACGATGATGACGTAGACCTCCATAATCTCATAAATGATATGGATAGAGAAAACCCTGAGAAATAATGGGACAAAAAGACCTACTGTAACGACACGGCATTTTGCCATGTCATTACATATATCAGGTGACCAAGAAGGTATGCTTGGTAAGGAGTCAATATGCGTGAGGAGATAAGATAAGACCACGTGATCCTGGGAAGCGAGAGGACACACACAAAAGCCCACAGATTCTTTTGTCATTAGAAATTCTTCCTATCGTCCTTGTCTTAGTATTCGCTCAAAAGATTGAATATACAGTTATACAAGCTGTACTTTCACTTGTGCTTATTCTACGCCGTGACACCTACTATGTGGTGGTGGGCACCGGCGACAAAATACCAACTTTCCAAAAGGAACTTCCTAGGGAAGGATTTGGCAAGCTACACAGTATTTTCCTTACTCGATTAGTCCAGATTCCTATGTCTACTTTTAAAACATTCTTTTATTATGGTTCTTCTTCTTTAGCAAAGAGTTTAACCCAATATAACTTTTCCTTCAATTGATCTCTTGCACGCATCGGCGTTAAAGGACCGAAAATAACCAAAGAAACCCTAATCACTGCGCAGTTTCGCATTTCCTCTGATTCTTGGCCCACTCCTTTTACAGTCTCATTCGGAGTCGCGCCAGACGGCACACTTCCTGGCGACTTAACACTAGGAAAGACGATGTCTCATGCTATGGGTATTCAATGCCTAAAAAAATGAAAATATCGGACCCTTAGGAATGCCAGAGAAACCTATCCTTAAACCACTGAATATTTCAAATTTAATTAACAACAAAACATTTTCTACAACAGAAACTCTCGATATCACTTGGCACACCACCACTACATCGCTAGTCTTGAATATAGGCGTATGTACAAGATAGCTAATGTATATAACAGGACCAACTTGTTCCCAGCCTATTCGCACGATGGGCATCCAGTTGGAAGTCTGTGGTATGGGAGTTGGAGAATGTGGGAGCATGATCACAGAAACATCAGAGCCGCTGTTGAACTTTGAAAAAAAAGCTGGGGACAGCTTTAGTTTGAGAAAGGGAATAATTGTGGATCCTGAATTCCAAGTCCGAGCGAAACCAAACTAGGCAGCTATTCTACTAGCTGGATCGTGCACTTCAAACAGGTACCAGCCAACCTAAGGTTCAGGCTGTTCGACAAGTGTGGCCCTGCTTTACTATTCACCCGTAAACGCTCCATAGAGCAATGTCAACGCTGCTGGGGCTACCACTCAAAAAGGAACTGCGTCAAAGGACAGCGGTGTGATAAGTGTTCTGGCAAGCATGAAGTAGCCGAATGCTTGGTGAACATCCCCAAATGTTCAAACTGTGCAGGACCGCACGAGTCAACCCACCTGAGCTGCATGGCCCGGTCAAGGCGGTACAATGGACAAGTAACGTCTCGGACACCATCCGAACTACGAGTTATTCGAGAGCGAGGACACATAGATTTTAAGGCAGCTTTATTAAGATCTCAAGAAAAAGGTAAGGCCCGCGAGGTCATTAACATACCAGAAGAAACAATGCTTGATAATGAGTAATACACCAAAGTCTCATAAGCATAATATAAGGAAATGGTTAAACTGTCCTTTGCAGCTATTGATGGTGACATGAATTAAGATGATGATTGTGATTGAGATAAATTTCTATATATTTTATAATACATGATATGCTCCGGTTCATATACCTCGAGCCAAGCAACCAGATTATGTTCCTCCAGATCTAGATTCATCAGAATAATTACTTACTCAGTAAAATTCTCCTAGTCTCAGTTGTGTGTTTAGGATCTTGATTAGGTTTCTACTAGCTAGTCAATGATGTTTCTCCTATCACTGAGACATAGTCATGGTTGATACAACAGGTACAAACGATGAATCGTGTCTGTACATGACGTTGTGATATAGTCATGATCGTCTGAACAATATCAACTCATGAATGAATCATGTCTCTACATGACAGTTGGAGCCGCTTGGTTTGCTGGCTTATTTCTTTTTCCTAACACCTCAGTCCAAGATTATTCTGTGGTTTTGTTGTGGGTTGTGTTCGAGTCTTGGTTAGGCTGGGGGAGTGATATTGCGGCTTACGGCCTGTTGTTTTCTCTGGCGAGGATCTGCACTGGACGTGTGACGCTTGCTGAATTTTGTTTGGGAGGCTCTGTAACTTAAGCCGGATTGTATAAGTTGGCATGGCCACTTGCAGCCTTTGGAGGAATGTAAGCGTCTGCATGGGATGGGTTGCCCCACAGAATTTTCAAGATCTTGCCCTAAAGGGCTAGTAATTCCTGATCAAAGAGTTTTCGAAGTCTCTCGTTAGTGACTGGTTTCAGCAGCTTGTAGAACCCGATGATGAGACGCTCTGCTTGTGCAGAGCGCGTCTGGAATATCCTGCCCTGTTCGGCTAGGAATTCGGTCGCGAAAATTTGTGGCGACGGAGTTTGTTGGTGAGCTGAGTTTTGCTGACTCGCCTTGCAGATTAGCTCTACGAATTGTTGTATGGGTGAGGGAGATAGCTGTTTTGGCCCGTTCAGGACCATTTCGACGTCTTGACGCGTCGAGCATTGAGTGGGGAGTGGGGGCCAGTGGCCAGCCTCTACGGAGGACTGGGCGGCATGAGTGAGAGGGAGATATGAATGGTAGTTTAAGTCGTATGGTATATGATAGCGTCACTTGGTGACGAAGAGTGTGTGTATTGGGCGGACAGCTGATCGGGCTCTTCTGACATTGGAAGTGGTTAAAAGTATAACGCCTAAATGGGGCCGATTTTGACCAACAAAGGCTGCAGAAACCAATTGGCTTACCAGCTGTTAAACCGGAATTCATAACTTTCCTAATCATCCAGCCTTCCTGTTGGAAATACAGCTTCCTGCATTTCTTTCTTTCGACCAATGTGGTTGCATGCATCTTGTCTGAATCATATATCTGAGTTCAGGCTGGAGCCCATACTGCTGATCCAATCAGACTCAATGTCAGAGTCTGCTTGAATCCCATTCTTTCCGAAAAAATCCAGTAATTGGTTTGTTCGTATTTTCTATTGCGTGACCCAGTATTCTGAGTCAGTAGTTCATTTATGTCTAGTCTGGGATCCACTTATTTCCGCGGTCGAGTCGGTTCCGGAAAACCTTTCTTCCTTGTAATTCCACTGTTTATATCATAATTCCTATAGTCCATTAGTGAATTAAGCAAACTAAACTTCTTCTCCGTTCTCAGGCAATTTTTATTCCGAAGTTCTCTCTATACTCTATCACTTCCCCTTATTACCAGGACCAGGCGGAGCTCGTAACACAAAGTACCCATTTAAGATTTTTCGAACTAATGAACCAACGATTGGTCAGTAAGACTTTATTAATGTGAAACAGTGATTATTATCAACTTAATGTTGTATCTTACCTCTAATTTGATGGATGATTTCGCTGAATGCCTCTATCATGCCTTTATACAAAGGTTCGTGATTGATAGGGGTAGTAAAGTTTTTTCCAAATTTTCCGAACAACAACACATGCAGTTTCTTAGCCAGGTCCTTCAAGTCAACAAAACTGGGGGAGAACCACCTGAGAATTTCGAATTCGAAATCACTGAATGCTATCCCTTTGTCACAGTCTAAGCATAGGCACTTGGGCAACCTTAAGGTCAGAGGTAGTTTTAATTTTAATCTATGGTGAACTACAGATTGAAGAGGATAATAACAGTTACTTTATACATGATTATTATCCCAGCCAATGACACAGATTTCTATCCGTATATCCGTATTCCTTACTCGTATTCCCTACTCATATCCCCTACTCGTATCACATTCTCGTGCCCCATCCCCGGACGTGTTACAATATTAGTATTGCCACTTATAAGGCCCTCCTTGTTTCATGCTAATCCTGCGTTAGACAGCGCAGGCTACAGGCAATTACCGGCTTACAAGCCGTCACACCCTTTTGTTAGTCAAGTTATTATGGACATTCCTCCTGGACCAGCAGCGAAGATGTGCAAGCTCGAAGGATTTCGTGTCGCTTCCATAAGTCACACATCCTAAAATGAAAACGTAAAAGAAAGATTCCAGATCATGACGGTAAGTTCTGGTAATGCTACTTCTGTAATATGCAGCATGTTCAAGTCGTTCAATCGCCATGAACTTCATTGTTCCTGTTAAGAAATTTCCTTTAACTGCGTCGGAAGTGTCTTTGACCTCAATGGCATGGTCAAGGTCGATCAAAAACCCTTGTAGAGTATTACTTAAAGGTGTTAAAATATAATTACCTTCAGAGATATCGCCGTGGAGCATTTTCTTTTTACAGTAAAGGTCTCGATGCGCTACAATGGCTTCTCTTATACCTACTAGAAACTCCAATATTGATCGACTGGTCCCAAGACTTCGGCCACGTGGCGTCATAACCACTCTTATAAGCTCGCGATCATTTAAATAAGGGGCCGATGTTAATGCTTCCTCCTCCGCGCCAATGGAGATATACTTGGCTTCAGCGGACATTTTCCAATACTTCGTACCAGTAAAATTCAGTGCTCCCATGTAGTCACTTATCTTGCAAATTTTATCCGACGTAATACAGTTAACGATGCCTCTGACTCCCCGTGCGCGCTTTATATAGTCGATTTCTGATTTTCCCGGAGTCCTGTTCCACGAGTACTTGACCACTGATAAATTGTCCACTGTTTCGTAGCAAGTGGTCCCACGAGCTACAACCCTACCCTCTATGGAAATTGGAGTGGGGCTAATTTCAAATTCCCTTCTCTCTTGATGTTTTTCATCATTTAACGTTATGAAAGACCGTCCATTGATATGTTTGATGGATGTATCAAGACCGAGCTCTTGATCACTCATGAGTAAGTACGAGGAGATAGCTCGAGTTAACTTCTCCTTTTCATCTTTAATACTTAAAAGTCCCGAACTGTATGCGCCCGAGCGATGAAATACCCACAGCCCAAAATCTTTTTTGAAACAGCAAAATCCATGAACAAGTGTTCGCAAGGGCTGTTTTATAAATATCTCGAACATATCTAGAGAGTTGTAAAAATTTTTCTGTCCTTATTTTTCCAGAGGTAACCTTAGTTAACTCGGCCACTACTCTCACGTCCTTCCAATTGTGGGGAGCAGCGTTGGGTAAGTCTCCACTTTTAACTAGTAATTCAACTTACCAATCACTGTTCGTACCTTTTATCTGATTTTTGGCTGTTGTACGACAATATTTCCCGCGAAGCTGTGGGCCTTTCTCTTCACCGATGAGACTTGGCCACTTATTAGATGGATCTGCGAATAGGTCTACTAGCTGGCTTAGAATTTTCTGTTCGAAAAAAACTATCCATTTCCAAAATTGGTCCTCTGTCATATCTTCTCTAAAAAAAGGTCTCTTTCTTCGCTAGTTTTGACTTCTTTTGTTTCTGAACTTTGTTCGCCTTTTGAAGTTGTTTATATTTTTTCGGACTTATTTTATTCTGGACTTCGTACTGTTGATAACACTCCCAGATACGTGAAGTTTGACTTGACCAACTTTTTCTCTCAAGAAACACTTCCCAGAAATTCGTGAACCCAGTTATAACATTGCCATCAAGTTCGTCTCTCAGCGCTTTTGCTAGTTTAACAGCCGTACCATCAAACCCTTCCACCTCAGTAACATTCCAGATGAAGGTGGTAGTGCACTTCGATGGGTAGATTGTGTCCGCTTTAGAAAATTGAGCTCCCCGATCACCAGGAGAATAAATTTTCGCGACTTTTATAGCAATGCGTAAGATATAGTGTCCCTTAAATCCCATCATAATAGCGTCTTTAAGCTCATCAAATACGGTGAGATCAATTTTATCCTTAACAATACGCTGCGTGAAGACAATAAATAATCGATTGAGTTCATACATGTTCTCAATATCAGTTATAAGAGATGCGTAATTGATGAGATCGGTGAAGAAAGATACGACAACTTTTTAAGTTAGATTGACTTATAATATCTTAGAGGTGAATTTTACCAGTTTTGTAATCTTTCTGAGTGACAAATTCTCGGAATTCTTGAAGGATATGTTTGATGGAGTTCTCAGCAAGGTGAGCATAAATCTCTGAAGAACCGGACATTTTGTGAGATGATTGTGCGGTTGGACTGCTCCGAGTTGAAGATGGAAGATGGAAGATGTATAGTTTTATTTGTTTGTTTTTTATTAAATGGTAATAATTAGCATTGTGCCTGCCCACAGCACATAAGCTCTTCACATAGTGATAAGTTCGGTATCAATAAAATTACACGAAGTGTGGAAGAGTTTGTTTTCACTTCATTTGGTCCTTTTCTCCTTCCGCATTCATAAATTTCCGTAGACAGCATGACAGTGTGTGTTTTTATTGTACTACTTTGTAACAGTTCCGATAAATAAAGCTTGGGCGTTCATATGTCGAAAGGTAAGTTTATTTACTAACTGAAGAACAAGACTACTGCTACACTCAACGCCCTATTTATATACATGATTCCAATATTTCAAACACTAGTCTCTGTCCTCTAGTCCGGCTCCCACTATTTGAGTGTGGGCTAGTTACCAACAATGTTTCGTGCACGGGCAGTACCAGACTCTTAATACCAACGTATCTTAGCGCTGAGGTAATAAGTATGCATGAGATGAATATCACAGGCTACAGGCAATCTACCGGCTTACTAGCCGCCACATTGCCCCTTCCGTTTTTTTTTTTTTTTTTTTTTTCTTGAGAGGCATGTGACCTAAATATATAAAAATTTTTTAATTAAATTTATTTTTGTCGCTGACGCCGCTTTTGCATCGTATTCTTTTCAGCTGGACCAACAAATCTTCCCACGATTTCCTCTAGAGGTCCATCATTATTTTCAATCGAACCATAAAGTTCTTCTAACTTATCTAAGGCTTCAGTGTCTTCTATGAATTCTATTGGCTCCCATGTTGGATCCACTTCACTAGCCCACTTCACTAGGGCTTGCCGAAATACCCCTCGTCCACGTCTCACTGTTCTCGCTCGAAGAATAGATTCGACAACAAATTCTTCGTTACCCAGCTCATCAGCTATAGGAGGATTCTGGGCATCGTCCCTTACTTGGCTTGGAAAAGGATCTATGCCGGCTCGTTTAATTAATTCCACGTGGAATCTTTTGTGTATATTACCAGGCACGTTGAGTTCCACAGTCAGTGCATCAGGTACTCCCGTTACAGTATACTTAGCGTGTTGCCAAGCTAACTTTTTTGACAGCTGAGGTGTTTTAATGTGCTGTAAATTCAACCAGACTTTATCCCCTATTCTATATTGCTCGGGCTGTCGACGTTGAATGTTACCGTTCAGCTCGTTCCGCTGCTGGGCCGATGCCATTGCTGCTTGTGCAAATTCTTGCGCGTCTTTCAAGCGCTGAATATACTTCTGTGCGTCAATACTACCTGGATGACGTGAGGCAGGTCCCTCAGCTGGGGTAGGCTCCATTAGAGGCTCTACGTTGTATCCGTTTCGTAGGAAAAACGGGCTCATCCCTCCTATAGCTGAGCTTGGTCTAGAATTCAACGCCATTTGAGCTAGCGGTAACAGATCCATCCAATTGTCCCGGGAGTAACAAGTAAATGATCTCAGATACTTGTACATTTCTTGGTTCGCTCTTTCACTTGCGTTCGATTGTGGATGGTAGGCTGTTGTTAGCCTCTGATTGATTCCAGTCAGTCGGCAGAAGTTTTTCCAGAAATGACTCAACCAGTCGGAACCTCTATCACTCGTAAGATAGCGTTGGAAACCGAAAAATCGGTAGTATCGATCTACGAATAGATCTGCGCACTTTCGGGCTTCCATTGACGGTGTGCCAAACAGCATAATATCTTTAGATAATCTATCTGTAATTACCATAATGTTTGTGCACCCTTTTGACATCGGCATATCTGTCACAAAGTCGATAGTAAGTTCACTGCCAATGCGCTCAGGAATCGGTAATGACTTCAAGAAGCCTGCTTTAGCCTCTCGCCAGATTGTGGAACGTCCACATACATCGCAGTTCCTGACAAACCGACGAACCGATTCTCTCATTTTTGGCCAAAACCATCGGCGCAGAAGAATTCCGATCATAGTGTCTCTACCTGGGTGGCCGGTCAGGTAACTATCGTGTGTTCGCTGCATGATGGCTGTTCGGAGAGGTTCATAATCTGGCACCCATATACGATTCTCTCTTCCCCGTAAGAGACCATCTGCGGCAACTGTACATTCTGCGATATTGGCCTTCAATTCGAGCGCAATATCGGGTGGAAAGCTTCTTTCCCCTAATTTTACAGCTTCACAGGCCCGTTGCCAGATTTTATCCTTCGCAGTGGCTTGCTCCCACAGACTTTGCAGCTCGATGTCGTCAAATAGTATTTCTTGAGGTACTCTTTCGCATATTTTCTCATTGTTAAGGCCACTAGGTATAATAGCTGCTGATCCTAACGGCACTGACGGTAAAAGCTGCATTATCCGACCCGCTAGCCGTTCATCATTTAAGTCTTTTGGTTTGTCTTGGTCGCGCCGCGATAAGGCATCTGGTCTATCACTTGCTCTACCTGCTCGCCATTTCAGCTCGAACCTGAACTGCTGCAACACATCGTTGTATCTTGTCTGACGTTCATTTAGTAGTCGTTTTGTTGCGAAGTAATTTAAGTTTTTGTGATCTGTCCAGATAGTGAATGGTTTTGCAACAGAATTCAACTCTGCTTTCCATTCCTTAAGACAAGCTACTATTGCGAGCATTTCTTTGTCGTGTATTGGATAATTCGCTTCGGCACTATTAAGGCGCTTTGAGAAATAAGCTATAGGCCGTAATCTGCCGAGTTTGTCTTTTTGCGAAAGGCATCCTCCCATGGCATATCCTGAACAGTCCGCTTCCAAAATAGTCTCTCGGTCTGGGTCCCACTGGGCTAATACAGGTTCTGTTGCAAAGATTCTTTTTAGCTCATTGAAAGATTTTCTTTCTTTCTCATCCCACTTCCAAGTTGACTTCTTCCTTGTTAACCTAATTAGAGGCGCAGCTATGTCTGAAAATTTGCTGATAAAACATCTGTAGAAGTTTGCGAACCCTAGGAAAGACCTTACTCCAGACACAGTTACTGGGGCCTTCCACTCAAGTATGGCTTTGACTTTCGATGGATCAACAGCAACACATTCACCGGCTTTGACAATAAAACCTAAATACTTCACCTCTTTGCAAAGAAATCCGCATTTTTCGATGTCTAAGTATAACCCTGCATCCTTTAGCTTCGAGAGAACACTTCGAACTATCTCCCAATGATTATCCTCACTTCCATCGGTATACACCAAAATATCGTCCATGTATACAGTAACATCCACGTCCAGATGATTCCGTAACTTTTCATTAATGTACCGCTGGAATGAGGCTGGCGCATTTATTAACCCGAAAGGAGTCACCAGCCACTCAAATATCCTAGGCGACACCTAAAAGCTGTCATCCACTCGTCTCTTTTCCTTATTCGGAGGCGGTGGAAAGCTGATTTGACGTCCAGTTTCGTGAACCATCTGGATTTAGAAAGCTGCCGTAATGTCTCCTTAAAAAGTGGGAGGGGGTAGCGGTCCGGAATCGTTATTGCGTTTAAACCACGGTAATCCACACAAAAGCGAAGGCCGCCATTAGGCTTTCTCGCAAATAGTACCGGGGATGCTGCCGGGGAACTGCTCGGTCTTATCCATCCTTTCTCTAAAAGGTCTGTAAGGGTTTTACGCAACACTAAAAGCTCCTCTCGAGACATGCTGTATAGAGGCCCCCATGGGGGTGTCAAAGGCTTTCCATTCTCATAACGAAGGTTGATTGCGTGATCTAAGTTATCTCTCAATGGGGGCAAGTTATTTGCTCCGGTGCTATCAGCAAAAAGTTGGGCGAAGTCCTTTACTTTTTCCGGTAGACGGTCTCTGGCGTCATTTTCCGAGAGAATTGGTTTTTTACGGAGTGCTTTACTTATATCCTCTATTGTAATTTTGCCGATCGGCACTGAGTCGCTCATCGACATCAAATCTTCAGTTGATGAATATTTTGG